TATTGTGTAACTTTTTCTAAAACTTTTACTTTAAATTATAATTTCTTATAACTTATCTTTTAGATATTTCCTTTTTTTATAATAAATAATGCGATATATAAATTAGTATATTACAGTGCGCACCCCACCCCCACTAAAACTAATTCTAGATCCGCTACTAAGCGTTATATCTATATATAATATATAAGTATGATCTTGTTCTTATTGAATAGCTAAGAGGCTTAATAGAAAATGTGGAGGTTGAGGTTCGAAGCTAAGGTGGGAGATAACTCTCACTTGTTCACCACCAACAACTACGTTGGGAGGCAGATTTGGGAGTTTGATGCGTACGTGCGCAGGCTCTCCTGAGGAACTTGCCCAGGTCGATGAGGCTCGCCGCAGTTTCTCTGGCAAGCCTAGTGCTGATCTACTTTGGCGCATGCAGGTTAACATTTTACAGCTAGCCGAACATATCAACAAACAAAAAAAAAATTTGGTTTATATAAATGAATATCAATTTGTTTTTGGTAATTCTAAACAGTTTTTGAGGGAGAAGAAGTTCGAGCAGAAGATCCCGCGAGTAATTATAAAGGATTCAGAGAAGATAACTTATGAAGATGCCAAGACGGCGCTGAGAAGAGGTGTACTCTATTTATCTGCGTTGCAAACTGATGATGGACACTGGCCTGCTGAAAACGGGGGTTCATTTTTCTTCGATGCTCCTTTTGTGAGTTTAATTACTACTCTCTCTCTCCATATAAATCAAATCTATGTAATACAGTGTAATTTTACCAGAAAATGATATATATATATGTAATGTACATGACAAAATATCACAGTTCATATGCTTGTACATCACTGGACATATGGAGAAAATCTTGACCTCGGAGCATCGCAAAGAGATACTGCGTTATATGTACCAGGTATAATCTGTAACATATATATATATGTGAAAATTATGTTATATTGGTGGCACCATAATTAATTGGTTTGTAGAACGAAGATGGAGGGTGGGGATTTTACATACAAGGCCACAGTGTTATGTTCTCCACAGTAATCAACTACATTTGCCTACGGATATTGGGAGTAGAACCACATCATGTTGATGATAAAGGAAGTGGTTGTGGAAGGGCTCGTAAGTGGATCATCGATCACGGTGGTGCTACCTATACCCCCATGATCGGAAAAGCTTGGCTTTCGGTATAAATATGCCATTTAACTTGGCTTTCGCTTCAACAATATAATGTTCTCTTGTATCGACTATACTGTTTGATGTGCCTTTATTCACACAGGTTCTTGGAGTGTATGACTGGTCCGGTTGCAAACCGATACGCCTGAGTTCTGGATGCTCCCTTCTTCTTTTTCTCCTTTTAATGCTGGTCTCACTTCTAAAACTTATGTTTATGAAATCTATGATGAGGTACTTGTGTTTATCAAATCATAATTAAATTTCCAAATGTGAATACGTAGGTACTCTTTGGATTTATTTCCGGGATGTTTTCATGGGCTTATCATACCTGAAAGGTAAAAACTTTGTAGCTACACCAACACCTCTTATTCTACAGCTCCGGGAAGAGCTTTATCCTCAGCCTTACGGAGAAATTAATTGGAGCCAAGCTCGCACTCGGTGCGCAAAGGT